GTGTGCTTCTTTCTCCCCGTTCCCTGGGTTTGGGCTGAGGTCACTGTGGTAGGCTTGGGGTGGGAGGAGGAGAGTGAAATAGGGAGGAAGGGGCCCATAGGGGACTGCAAGGCAAGGACCGCGTGTCCTGCTGTCTTGGAGCCCCTCCTCCGCTGACCACTGTTTAGCCGGTGGTGCGGCTGTGACACAGAGAGGGCTTCCTGGAGGAGGTGAGGTTTAAGCTGAGAGTCAGGTGCAGCTGGAGAGATCCCTGGGGAGGGAACAGCATGTGCCTCGTCTGTACTTTTGGGGCCGGCAGGAGCTGAGCTGCGGGTGCCCTTGGCCGAAGGGACCAGCAGGACCTGCTCCTGAGGCCTTGGCAGCCCTGGAGGGGTCTAAGCAGACAATGTCCTGGTCTGCCTTGCTTTTAGGAGGTGTCCTTGGCTGCCATGTGGAGAGTGCGTTGGTGGGACTGGGAGGCAGCAAGGAGGTGGTCACAGTGATTTAGAGGGAGATGATGGGGCCCTGACCAAGGCAGGAGCTGGGGACTGGGGACAGAAGGCAAAGGGGGCTTAGAGGAGGTAGAGTTGACAGAGCTGGGTGACTGGCTGGATGTGGGGGATGAGGAGGGAGCCCAGAGAGATGTGAGCTTTGGAGTGGGCAGCTGGGGGGGGGTTGGTGCCATCACTGGGCTTGGACACTCAGGAGGGCTCAGGTTTGGGGTGGAGAGAGCCTTGTTTGGGCCTCAGTTCCACTGAGGCCCATGTGGGTCATCTGGGAGGTCAGGAGCTGTGTGTGTGTGTGTGTGTGTGTGTGTGTGTGTTTTGTGTGTGTGTGTGTTGTGTGTGTACGTGGAGGGTGGGCAAGACCCTTACAGGAAACATCTGGAGCCCCCCACCCCCAACAATGGACCAGAACTGAGTGCTCCCTGGGGAGTGAGAAAGCTTGGGGTGCTTGGAACTTCCAGGGAGGGCAGACCCCAGCAGCTCCCTGTGTGCCCTCTTTGTCCCACTGGACACCTTTAACCCATGCACCTGGGACCCTCCCAGTGGCCCGCAGCTCCAGATGCCCCTCCACATGGGTTCCATTTAAGAGGCCCCAGTGGGACAGGGTCTCTTGCTCAGAACTTATCGAACAAGCCTGCAGACCCTGACCCTCCTCCTGTCTCTGGGACCCCAGAATTGTGAGCAGAACCACCAGCCTCTCACCCCAGGGGGCCTCCTGGACCCCTACCCCCACCAGACCCAGGGACTCAGAGTTCAGCCCAAGTTCAGAACTGTCTGCCCAGTGGGAGGAGCAGAGGTGGGCACCGGGGAGGAGGAACCCCCCAGGGGCTCTGGGCAGGGGCAGGCTCTGGGCTGCACACCCTCCCTGCTGACCCCATGAGCCCACCACGCACGAGGCTCTGTGAGAGCCCATGACGCACCTTGGTTTTCCGACTTCAAAGCCCTACAGCATGTGTGTCTCCATCACGATGAGCAGTTGTCCTGCCTTCGGCTGGGGTGCTCCTAGGAGAGGAGGGTGGGGGGCCGGAAGTGGTTCCCACCTGGATCTAACCTTGCCTGGCCTCCCCCTGGAGGGAGACTTTCTTCCTCCTACTATCATCCAAGCGGTGTGGTCCCAGTCCACCCAGGGGAGCACCGTGAGCAGCTCCCGCAGGAAGAGCGGAGTGTGCCGCCGGGCAGGACTGCCTGACAGAGCACCTTGGCATTGACTCCCCTCCTCCTGAGCCCTCTTTCTCCTCCAGATCCCCACAGCCGCGTCTGGAGGCTGAACACTCAGAGGAGGTAGCCTGGACAGATGTCACGTCCAATTGGGGCACCTCTGGGGCTTCCTGCCTCCCTACCAGCTCAGGCCCCTCTTGTCCTCTCTTTGGCCTGGGTTTCCTGGACCCTGGGCTGGCACTGGGAGTCATACAGGGAACGAAGCCACATCCTCCAGCAGGGAGCTCACACAGGGAGGTAGTGGCAGAAGGTAGGGGCCTCGAACCCGGCTTCTCTCATGCCCACGGCCTGGAATGCCTTGTTCTTGGCAGTTGTGGGCTCTGCGTGCACCCTCCCCACCCTGCACACCCCAGGGTGCGCACCCCGCTCTGCCATGGCCAAGGGCTGATTAGTAAGCTCCAGTGCTGGGGCTCACTCAGCCAAGCTGTTCGCAGCCCAAAACCCCCCTTATTATCTCGGCAGATTTCTTTGCGAGGCACGTAAACGAGAGCCTATAAAAGCGAACAGTACTTCATCTTTAAGGTGATCTCTGAAGACTAATTCTCCTCTGCTGAGTGCCCTGTTTCATCTCCAAGCTTCTTGTCCCCCTGCCTCCAGGGGACCCCCTGCTGCTTCCTCAAGCCCCTCCCCTCCTCTGTGCCCTCTGCCTTCCTACCAGGGAGGGGTGTGGGTGGCAGGAGGGTGCCCGATAGGGCTGGGGTGCTGGAGACCCACAGGGGAGCTGACTGACCTCTCTGCCAAGCCAGCCCCAGCCTTGCCAGCTGGGGGACCTTAATGCTACACAGTCTGATGCCGCCACTCTGAGCTGCTCCAGGCAAGGTGTGTCCCGATGGGTTCCAGGAAGGGGAATGACAGAGATTGACTTGCTGACACAGCCGTACTTTAGGTAGAGGAAGGGACACTGCAGGACAGCTCAGCAAGCAGCCCTGGCGTAGATGCAAGTCCGGAGTCACCCAGCCCTAGATTCAGATGCTGGCTTCTCTGCTTATCCCCTGTGTGACTTTGGGCAACAGTCTTCTGCTCTCTGAGCCTCAGTTTTCCTATCTGCGAAATGGATGCAACCATAGCACCCACTGCATGGGTTGCCTGGAGATCTCATTGGTGGAAACATGTACGTGCCCAAGGAATGGTGGCAGTATTGGGGGGCCCAGCTGTGTAAGCTGCCGACCCGCAGGCAGCTGGGAGCTTGGGATGGCCCTGAAGTTGCGTTCATCATGAGCCACACCATTCGGAGTGGGCACAGGTCAGGGGCAGCCCTGCTCAGGGTTCAGGGCTCAGCAGGGAGGTCAGGAGCCTCTGACCTGCTGGGCACTGAAGGCCCCAGGAACGCCTCCACCTCCTCCTGTGCCAGCTGGAGACACGACCTGGTCCATGTGCTCTTCCTTCCTCTGTCCTGTTACTGTCCATCAATTCAGCAACCAGCCAACAGGATTGCTCTGTGCCAGGCAGGGAGCAGGTCCCCACCGTTGGGGGGGCTCATGGTCCAGGGCGGGTTTCCTGGACTTGGGGTTCACCAGCCCCGGAATCCCCAGAAATTTTGTCCACAGATTTCTCCAGATTCCCAGAGGGATTAGTGCCCCAAAGAAGTTATGAGTCACAGTCCATGGGACACAGACAGGGCAGGGGCTGGGTCTGATTCATCCACGGATACCTCCTCAGGGACTGGCCCAGAGCCTGGCTCATGGGGAGACCCAGTGAATGTTGAATGGATGTTTGAATGACTGAATGAATAACGTCAAAGGTGGTGACTATCTGTCCGTCATGGGTGGGCACAGAGGAAGAGCCCCTCCAAGCTGCGGGGAGGAGAGAGGAGACAGTCAAGGAAGGCTTTCTGGAGGAAGAGACGACCAGCCGAGCCCGAAGGAAGAGGACCAGTTAGTCCAGGGAAGCAGGGGACGGGGGGCTCCGCCAAGGGAGCAGCCTGAGCAGAGCCGGTGGGGAACTGTCATGCGTCCGAGTCGGGCTGGAGTAGATCGTCTCGATGAGGGGAGCCAGCGTGGATGGGTCCCCCAAGAGGTCTGGGTAGGTGCGGAGCACTGAGTCCCGGCAGCATCATGACTGCAGGGGAGGCCAAGGAACGCTGTCCCTCCTCTTGACAACAGAACAGATCCGTTCCTGGGGGGTCTGCCTGCCCACCTGCACCCCACCCCGACCCCAACCCCCTCGGGAGCCAAGTAAGAATCAGGAGTTATTTGCAGCATTTGAACTTACGGAAAAGAAGCTGTGTGCTCTGCCGTGTTTTCTCAGTAAGCCGCGGTGATGTCAGAGGATCGCTCGCTGTCCCACGTATCACTGAGAAAGCAAGCAAGCTGTCAGTGACAGTTGTGAGACATCCCTCGATGTTGGGGAGGTTAAAATGTGAGAAAAAGGCGAGGTGCATCCCAGCATCAGCGACACCCAGAAATAACACTTGGGGTGGGGAAAAACCCTCCTCCAGATGCTCCGTGCACATCGATCATGAGATAATAAAAGCTACTAATATTTATTGCACAGCGTGTCAGGCGCGGCTCCAGTGCTTTAATGTACTAACTCACTTCAAGATGCATCTTGAATTCAGAAAATGTGGGGAAAATGTGTGAGTTGAGGAAATTCAGTGAGGAAGGTAGGAGGCTTGGGGCCCAATCTGAGCTCTGCTTCTAATTTGCTGTGTGATTCTGAGCAAGCCCCTTGCCCTCTTTTGGCCTCAGTTTCCCCATGTGTGAAATGCTCAGTGGCTGCGAGTGATTCAGTCCCGTGAATCGGGGCCTCCAAGCATTTGCTGCTACATCACAGCACCTCCTTGCTCTGGCTTCCTTTGTGGTTTGGCTCCCACTATGACGGCCCAGCCCCAGACGCAGTGTTTACCACACCTGTCCTGCCTCCGTCCCTTCCCTGTTTTGAGATACTGTCTGCTCTGGAGTCACAGCCACCCGCTGTCTGAGCCCTCGCCTTGTCAGAGGGAGGCAGGCCCCTTCTCCAGGTGGCCTTAGAGCAACTCTGCCCCACTGTTTGGTGTTTGTCCTGCCAGGGGCCTTCTCCATGAAGTGGGAGAGGAAAGGGGGAGAGGAGGTGTTCAGGTGGCCCTGGTGTGCGTAGCTGGAGAACAGCCAGAGCAAACCAGAGGCCGTGGGACCCATGGGACATGGGGGCTCCAGGTTGGAGGGGACCTCCAGTGACAGGTGCTCACTACTGCAGAACACTTGTTTCCCTGTGACAGCATGACCACCTTTAGCATCATCACTGTCACCATGACAGTTCCCTCTTCCTGAGTCCACATGGCGGGTACCCATGTGTAAGAGATGGGTGACATTATGCCCCATGTTAGAGGTGAGGAAACTGAGGCTCAGAGAGGTGAGGTCACACTGTAAGCAATGGCAGTGCAGGGACCTGAGCCTGGGCCTGTCAGGCTGTAGAGTGAGAGACATCACCTCCAGCGCTGACTGTGCCAGGGCAGGGGCTCCATGGGGGGCCCCGTGGCTGCACACACGAGTGGCTGAGGGTCACTGCGCCTGCACTGGGCAGGATGGGGCAGCGGGAGGGAAGGCTCTCCTTCAGTCTCCCCATCTCTCTGCCTCAGTTTCCCTGCTGCATCCTCTCCATCTCTGTCCCCCTGCGTCTCCCTGCATCTCTTCTGTGTCTCTCCCCTCTGGGACCCTGTCCCCTCTCTGACTCCGTTCCCCGAGACCCCAGGTATCCATCCCCTCAGGTCCTCTGAGCCTTGTTCGGGCCTCACAAAGTCTCCCTGGGCAGAGCTGGCGGCCTGGGTCCACCTCTAATGCCTGTCCTCCTTTCTCTGTTCGTCCATCTGTCTGTCTCCATGGCCGTGTGTCTGGGCTGCCTGTAGCGACCAAGCTGCAGCTACGTACTGTGCACTGTGCTGCTGTCCCTGGCTGTGCTGCTGGCTGTGGCTGTCACCGGCGCCGTGCTCTTCCTGAACCATGCCCGTGCACCAGGCACTGCGCCCCCACCTGTCGTCAGCACTGGGCCTGCCGGCGCCAACAGTGCCCTGGTCACCGTGGAGCGGGCCGACAGCTCACGCCTCAGCATCCTCATCGACCCGCGCTGCCCCGACCTTGCTGATGGCTTCGCTCGCCTGGAGGGTGCCCAGGCCTCAGTGCTGCGGGCGCTGACCGAGCACCAGGCCCAGCCGCGGCCGGCGGGTGAGCGGGAGCAGGAGCTGCTGGACACGCTGGCTGAGCAGCTGCCCCGGCTGCTGGCCCGGGCCTCAGAGCTGCAGGCAGAGTGCGTGGGGCTGCGCAAGGGGCACAGTGCCCTGGGCCAGGGGCTCAGCACCCTGCAGAGCGAGCAGGGCCGCCTCATCCAGGTAAGGGCTGGGGTCTGCGCCGCAGAGGCTTGGTGGAGGTGGGGGTTGCTGCCACCACGTGCCGGCCCTGTGCCAGGTGCCTGATATCCACGGCTTCACTTAATCCCTAAGTGCCCAGGACTGGGGGCTACTGCTCTTCCCATCTACACATGAGCCAGTGAGGCTCAGAGAGGTGAAGTCTCTCATCCAAGGCCGCACAGCTACTGGGAGCCAGGACTCAAACTCAGTTTCTCTCCTGCACACTCTCCTGGTGACCCTATGGCATCCAACGGTCAGGTCAAATCCAGGGCTCCAGGGACTTCCCAAGTGCTTCACGATGCAGGAGAGGTAGGGCATTGCCCCCATCATTAGCCAATAGAGACTCAAAGAAGGACTGTGACTTGCTCAAGGTCCTGTGGCTGGTGAGTGCCAGCAGGCCAGTTGAGGGAGTCCAACCAGACACTCAGCCTGTCCCAAAGCCCCTCCACGCTCCCCACCCCCGTCTCAGGCCAAGCCAGGTTCCAGCCAGCGCTGGGTGGGGCTGGGTGAAGAGCTCCTCTCCTTGGCTCCGAGACCAGGCCTGTAGCACCAGAAAGAAGTTTCTCCTTCATTGGATCAGGGACTTAAGGTCATCTCATCTGCCTCCATTTTCCAGAACAGAAAATTGAGGCCCAGAAGGGGGTGGTGATTTGTCCTGGATACTGTGGCCAGATCCAACCCCCTAGTGCCCTGCCCGGCCTCCAGCCATGTGCTGGGCACATGTGACTCAGATCCTTAGCGGCTAGGAGCCAAGCCCCTGCCTCTACCAGCAGCCCCAGCCCCTTCCACCCACCCCATGTCCAGACACCTGGGATGACCAGGCATCTGGTCACCCAACAGCTCATGAGCAATGGGCCTTTTCCCTCCATCTGAAGGCTGCAGCTGGAGAAATTACAGTCCTCATCGCCCTGTCTGGGTGACTGACGGGAAGGCAGCTTCCCCCACCCAGGGTGGAGGGTAGAGGGGGATGTTTAGCTGGCCTTCCCGCTGCCCCTCCATCTGCGGCTTCCCTAGGCCTCATCGGAAGGGCTCGGGAAGCCCTCCAGACTCTTGGGTGATCTGGGCCACCCCATTGCTCAGCCCATGGTCAGCTCAGGCCTGGCCCACGAGTGCTCCCCCTCAGAGCTGGGAGGAGGATTTGAGAGGAAGGGTCTCAAAGTCGCCCCACTCACTCCACAACCTACGCAGAGGCGTAGAGCTGTTCCTGCAAGACCGATAACTTTTCTGGGGCCCAGGAGTGCCACGGCTCACCTGACATATTTAGTTCTCAGAAAATGTTTGATTTGACTCATTACCCACTGACTCCAGGTCATCCCCACGCCCGTGTGTCTTTCCGTGTCATTCCGAGGCAGGCAGCCATCGCTCCTAACTCCACTCCAAATCCCCACAGCTGTCCCATCCGAACAACCCGGCGTTTGTCATCTCAAACCTGTGCCCACGGGCACCCTGGGTTGGAATCACTGGGTGCTTGTTAAAAGGCAGGTGCCTGGACTCCATCCCCCACCTCTGGACCCCACTGGGGGGTGTGTGTGAGAATCTGCAGTTGAACAAGCGCCCCGGGTGATTGTCACGTACAGGATCGCCTGAGGCCTGCTGGCCCAGGCTGAGCTGAGCGGTTCTGCCTGAGGGTTTGAGTCGGCAGTGCTGGGATCCAGTCCAGGCTCCACCTGTACAGCTGTGGGACCTCGGGCAGGTCATATCCTCTCTCTGGGCTGGGTCTCCTCACTGTAAAATGCGGCTGACACAGTTCATGCCGAGGGGATGCTGGAGCTTTTGGCATCTGGCTGTGGAGATACTTCCCATCTGCCCCAACAGCATCTCCCTGTTATTATGGTGCAAATTGTTTGTGAACTAGGATTTAAACCTATGGGGGGCCACCACTGAAAATCTCTTTTACAATATGAATGCTGGGCCCACGCCGTGTGTTAACAAGCACTTTGCGGCCCAGCAACTGCAGGAGGCGAGTCCATTTATTACCCCATTCTACAGAGCGGCAGACTGAGGCTCAGAGTGGCGAAGTGCCCAGCTGAAGCTTGGTCACACAACTAAGAAGGTCCGGAAACAGAAACTGGGATTTCACAGCCTCTGAAAGCTGCCAAGTCCTCCCCGATGCATCTGTGCTGCTCAGCAAGCAGGGACCGACTTCCCCATTAATTCGGGGCATGTTTATATGTACATTTTCAACTTTAATCATTTGCTGGTTTAAACTGAGGTCTTTCCTGCCCGTTAGCAAAAGGGAGGGGGCTGAGCCTGAGTTTCTCTAGTGTGTCGCCGCATTGACTCAGAGGGATGGGCTGTGATTTAACCAAGTGACGTTTGCTCCCACGGTCCTCCCCATCCCCCCGGGCTGCCTGCATCCTTCTTAGACGGAGCCTGTCTACAGCACCCTGCGGTGGGGCCCAGGGCACTCCCTGCCCACCTTGCTCCCCCCTGCCCAGGCCGCAGCCCTGCCTGAATCACCTGCTCAGCAGAGGTGAAGCTGACAGGGACTAAAAGCTTTGCAGGGCCCCTGCCTCCGGACGAGCGGAGAATCAGATTTTGTAAAGTGTCGGCGCTGTATATTTCTATATTTTCCTTCCTCGAATGGGCTATTATCTGGCAAATGACAGGTTCGGTGTGTGAAGACCCAGCTGGCTCCACACTCGTTTGCTGGCTGGCGGCAGTCTGCCCGTGACGGGCCTCCCCCTCCATGTGGTCCTCATCCCCCTGGAGCTCGGGTGGGGAGGTGACAGACCCCAGACCCTCAGGCAGCGGACACAGCCGTGAGGCCCCAGGAGCCGCGCTGCACTTGCTGAGCTCCCAGCCCCTGGACTGTGATGGAGGAAAGGTGGGAGTCGTAGAATAGGTGACACTGGCGAGCACGTGCCCAGCGCGGGCTGTCAAGAATCCCCTCCAGCGGAAGCACAGCTCTCACCACCCTGCTTTTCAGAGGAAACAAACTGGAGGGGTCCCATCGCTCTTCCAGGGTCATGCAGCTAGCGAGTGGGGGAGGGGATTGGAGTCAGAACCCAGACAATCGAATTGTCCAAACCACTGCCCCCCCTCACACTCACCCCCATCCCCAACCTGGATCCCCTTCCTGAGAGCCAGCCCTGGGCAAGTGGCCTGAGTCTTGGTCCCCAGGTCGTCGTTCACTTTCAGGGACCTCTCCTCCTGGGCCTCAGTTTCCCCACTTGTAACAGGGAGATGACAACCTCAAGTCCTACTTCGCAGCACGTGGGGCGCCTGGTGAGGTCATGGGCATCAGAGAGCCACAGAAACCCAAAGTGACGTTCGCGTGGGGCTTGCGGGTATACTTGTTCCTGGGCCCAGCCTGCAGCCCAGGGATCTGCACAAAGGCCCCCATGACCTCTCTGAGCCTCAGGACACCCCTCTGTTTGTCACTGTCACATGCAGATCAGCCACCCCTTCCTTGGCAACTTTGCTTGGGGATCAGAAAAGCCTGGAAGGTGCCGTGCAAATTCGGTGTATCGGGTATGCCATGCTGGGTGCTTCCCATGTGTGGTCACCTGTCCCCACGGCAATGTGGCCAGGGAGGTGGTGTTAGCCCCACTTCCAGATGAGGAGACAGGGCTCAGTTTGGGCACGCACCCACAGCCATGTAACTGGCACATGGATGAGCCGGGTGCAACCCAGGTCTGCCTGACGCCGGGGCTGCCTCTACCTGCACAGACGTCCTCCTCAGCTTCCCTCTCACCTAGGCTGACCATACAGAAATGGCCAAAGAACAAAGCCTGGGACAGCAGGGGCAGCAGATGCCTGCTGGAGCCACCCTGTCCCCTCCCACCTGAGTTCCGGTCCCTTTAGCCCTTGAGGTCCCAGACCAGCAGTCTCTGACAGACCACCTGGGACAGGGACCGTGGGGCCAGAGCAGGGTGGGGGCTGCCATCAAGCCAAGAGCCCACCCCTGTCTCAGGGGAGGGCCCATCCAGCAGGTGACATGTTGTGTGTCCCCCGGGCTTACCTTCTGTGCTCAACAGCTTCTCTCCGAGAGCCAAGGCCACATGGCTCACCTGGTGAACTCCGTCAGCGACGTCCTGGATGCCCTGCAGAGGGACCGGGGGCTGGGCCGGCCCCGCGTCAAGGCTGATCTTCAGAGGGCCCCCTCCAGGGGATCCCGGCCCCGGGGCTGCCCCAGTGGTGAGTGGGAGAAGGGGCCACCTTCCTCCGGTAACTTGGTGCCCAGTCCTGGGGAGCAGGGAGAGCTTGGCTGAGGATTGCCCTGCAACAAGCCACCCAGCACCCAGCCTGCTGCCACCGCGGCCTAGGCAGGCTCTGTCCCTCCATCCTCCCCCACCACCCCTCACCTCTGATCAGAAACACCGCTGCTGTGACCGAGGACTTCCTGCAGGCCAGGCGGCTCGGAGCACCCAGCTGCCCCCTCCCGTGGGCCCCTCTCTCAGCCCATTTTCCAGATGAAGAAAATGAGGTTCAGAGAAGGTGATTCACCCAGACTCACCTGGGAGTGGCAGAGCCAAGATCCGACTCCACGGCCGGTGCTCTTGACCCCACATGAACCCACATGACACTGCCAGGCGGACAGACCAATCAGAGACAGACAGGGGCAGCTCCAGACAGAGGGGGTGGGCAGGAACACAGGGCCTGGCCACTGCCACCCTGATGAGCCTCCCCTGTCTCAGGCTCTCGGCCCCGAGACTGTCTGGACGTCCTCCTGAGCGGACAGCAGGACGACGGCGTTTACTCAGTCTTCCCCACCCACTACCCCGCAGGCTTCCAGGTCTACTGCGACATGCGCACCGATGGCGGTGGCTGGACGGTGAGTCTCCCGCGCCACGCGGACAGAGAGGCAGGCCCCTGGGGGGCCAGGAGGCCACATACCTGAAGCTGGGTGAGCAGCCTCTCACCTGCCTTGGATTGGGCCTGCCCTGGGGACCCTCTGCCTTGGCCTGACACGGGGAGGGGGAATTGGCGAGCTGCCCCTGGCTGGGGGGCAGATGCCAGTCAGGGCCACCATGTGCTCCCTGCACTCTGAGCCCCCGAGCCGTGGTCCTCCAGGGGTGCTGGGCCAGTCAGCGTTGGGTGCTGGGATGGAGCGCGCCTCGGGCACCTGCTGCTGATGTGAGTCCAGGGCTGATGCGTGTGGGCGCCTGACCTGTTGAGTTCTTCAACATGTGGTTCCAGTGCAGGGGAAAGGGGGAGCCCGACGGCGTCCTGGCGAGGGGCGGGGGATCCCTGTGCCTCCTGGTTCCTGCCTGGGTGGGAAATGAGAGCAATGAAATGTGCCAACCTCCAGAGGGCAGGGGCAGGACAGCTGTAGGCGCCCCCTGAAATTCTCCGGGGCTGGGAGCGGGGGGCAGTGGTGGGGCAGACGGGCCAGCTGGAAGCCCCTTCCAGAGCAGGTCGCACACTGTCTGCACAGGCCCAGGGAGGACGGATTCTAGGCTCACGGTCCCGCCTCTGATGTCTTCAGTGGTCTCGGTGGCAACTGCCTGACTCTGCCTCTATAGGGGAAACAGTCGCAGACAAAACGAAAAGGCAGGGGCTGGCTGCGTGCCAATAACACTTTACTTGTAGACACCGAAATTTGAATTTCATAGTTTTCGTGTATTCTTCCTCAAATATTATTCAAAGGATATTTTTAAAACTCCTCTTTTGACTTTTTTTTTTTTTTTTTAACCATTTAAGAAGTTCAAAGCATTCTTGGCTCACATGCTGTGCAAAAACAGACAGCAGGTAGGAACTGCCCCACGTGCTGGGGTTTGCTGACCCCGGCAGAGCTGGGGAGTGCAGTGGGCAATGAGCTTGCGGCCCCCTCCCGCAGTGGTGGGCTTCGGACCCTCTCATGAGGCTCAGGCTTAGGGTCTGGCCTCAGCAGGGCTATTATGGGCCATTGGGTGATTTTGTGCATATTTAAAAAATGCACATCCCTTTCTTTGTGTATTCTGGGGTGCTGGGCTTGGTGAGGGGAACAGAGGAGAGCCTTGCCCCGGGGCTGGGTGCCCTTGAGCAGTGAACAACCTGCACCACTGTCCCTGGAGGCCTGCGTGCCACCCTGAAAGCTGCTCAGCCCCCCTGAGTTGGCTATAGTAGGGACACCCAGTGACAATGACCGGTAGAACTAGCTCTTTCAGGTTTCTCAGCTTCACATTTAATTTCAACCAGACAGACACTTTGAGCACCGGCTGTACCCTGGATACTGGGGACGTACAGAGGTGGGAAGCTCCTAGCCGAAGCCTCCCGAGGAGCTCAGAGTCTGTGGAGCTGGGGGTGGAAGAAGCCCCCGTAGCAGAGGTGGAGGAGGCTCTGTACAAGCTTCTAGAGAAGGGGCATTTCTGATGAGTCTGGAAGGATGGGTAGGATTTCTGGGTGTGTTCAGGAAAGAGGTTATTTCAGGAGGAGGGAGCAAGTTAACCAGGCTCCAGGAGCCAGAAAGCACGTGGTATGGGCTGTGTGGCACAGGAAGAGATGAAGCGAGGCTGGTCAGCACCCCAAGCTGCGGGGTCTGGGACAGGCACTGGGGAGCTATTGAGGGTGTTGGAGAGAGGAAGGATGGGATAAGAGCTGTGCTTCAGGAGCCATCACCTGATTGTGCGCGTCCTTGGGCAGAGTGGGAAGAGAGAAGGGGAGGAGGCGTTTCACGCATTTGGTTGACAGGCCTGTGATGCAGTCCCTCTGTCAGAGATGGGGACAGTCTGGAGGCTACATGCTTGGGCCCCATCATCCGCAGACAGAACCAGATGTGACTCTCAATCCTGCTGTGTGATCTTGGGCAAGTTACTTAAGTTCTCTGAGCCTCAATTTCCTCAGCTGTGGAATGGGGACACTCACCTGTCACTCAGAGTTCTTAAATGCAAGTAATGGAAAGTAGCTGACTTAAGCAGAAAAGGAATGCACCTGAGAGAGACTGGGAGGCCGGAGAAACCAGCTCAGGGCCACCCAGCCAGGAACAGAGACCCCCTGACCAGGACAGGGCTTGGCCTGGTGAGGACCCCAGTGCTGCCACCAAATGCTGGACACAGCTAGACACAGCTAAATGGATACCTCCAACCAAGATCCGTGTGGGCCTGGGGCACAGGCTCGGTTTGGAGGTGAGTCCTTCTGTCCCTGCTTCATGGCTTCCCCAGCTGTAGACTGGAAGTCACACATGCTTCTGACTGTTGGGGCCTGTACATGCCTATGATCTGCCCTGCAAGTAGCTGGCATTTTTAGCAGCTATGGTAGCAATCGTCTGTGCCTCCCCTAAACCTCAGAAGACGGGGAAGGACAGACCAAAAGACAGATGTCCACATTCTACTTCCTGGGGCCAGCCTAGGCTTCTGTTCCCAGATGCTTGCAGCGCATTTTGCACGAAATCTGCTAGCTGTTCAGTCACTATTCCTGACAATGAGCCACACCCAGGGCACAGCATTGGCAACCCCACCATGACCAAGATGTGTATGACCCGGCCTCCTCAAGCTCCCCACCAAGAGCGAGTCCAGGGGGGTCCAGAGAACAGGAATGGGGACCTGAGGCTGTGGGAGGAGCAAGTCCGCTGCTCCCAGGGGTGCTCGGGTAGCAGCTTCTTTGGTCTCCGACTTTGGACTTGGAGCACTAGGGGAGGCCGGCAGGAGCCATCAATTTCTCACCAAGGAACTTGATGTGGGCTATTTTTGGTGATTGATGTCCAGGCCAACAAAGGTCGGGGAGGAGTTTAAGATCAGATTAAACAAGTGACCAAAGAGCAGAGGAGAGAGGGAGCCTCTCATGGGATGAAAGGGTCAGGGCCACCCAGGTCAGTTTTGAAAGGGGCCAGCCGTCCCCAGCAGCGTCCAGGCACGCGGGGCCCGAGAGGCGGGCGGGGAGGGTGACGTGAGCCTGCAGGGCAGAGCCTGCCGCGTCAGGAGCCAGCACAGAGCAGACGAGAATCCCCCAAGGACCCCAAAGACAGACATATCTCTAAACCTGTCTTCAGGCTCGGGAGGAGAGCTTTTAAATGGACTGGATCCATGTCTGGGGGTTAAAAGCTCTTTTGTTTTCCTAACTTCAAGTACGTCTGAGTTATGGCGTTTGCCTCTGGGAACCCCTTGGCGGGCAGATCAGCGAGAATGTGCCAGCCAGACCCAGAAATCAGAGTTAAGGGTTAGGACAGGCTTAATGAAAGACCGAGATGCCAGAGCAGGCCATGCATCTTCCTCTCGCGTGGACTGGAAGCCAATCTCCCGGGAAGTCAATCAGGATTTGGGCTGGGAGGCGGGTAGTTCCCGTGGCCCCGGCTTCAGGGGTGATTAGAGAGGACTCAGTGAGGGACGCCAGCCCGATCGGGCCTGGCACTCAGACACCTGGATCCGGGCTCTGGAGGAGAGGCCGTTCTCGTCCAAGAAATGCTTGCGTGGCCAATAAACGTTAATATCCATTTGGGCTTCCATCAAAAGCAATCTTTTCCCAGGTACCTCCAGACATCTGTCAGGATCACCTCCCTGCCACACAGAATCTCTCGGAAGCTCAATTGTTGTTTGGAAGGGAGCTGGCCGCCCCCCCTCCAGACCCTGGTACCATCCATCCTCATTAGGCTCCATGTCCAGAGTGCCAGGCCTCGAGTGCCAACATTGATGGTCTTGCCTGGAGGCCAGGGTGCCTGGAGCAGTCCCCCCAGAGACTCCCCAACCGGGGCCTGCTTCCCAGACAGACTGGAGTGGGCAAGGATGGGCCCAGCAGCCCTGCCCACCTAAGGGCACTTCACAGTTTATATGCCCACCTGGCATCACTCGGCTGCCCCTTCAATCCCAGGAGACCAGCAGGCCAGCCTCAGAGAGGGCAAGAGATTTGCCTAAGGCCACCCAGCAAGTGAGCGGCCTGGCCAGGGCAGCAGCCAGGCCTCCTGAGGTCCAGCCAGTGCACGTCAGTGGAGTTAACTGTCACACGGGGGCCCTCACTTATGCTCGTGTTCAAACACTGAGCACCAACTGTGTGCCAGGCACAGGGGGTAAGAAGGACCGGAGAGCTCCAGCCTGGTGGGGGGATGGACAAGTCAGCAGATGAGGGCAGCCAAGGTGAGGGGCCGGGAGGTGGCACGGCTTGTTTTGGGACCATGGTGGCTCCGTGCTGCTGACATATCTGACCCCTGGCCGTGTGAGACTGGCAGGGCACATCCCTCCTCGGAGCGTTCCCTTCCTTGTCTGGCCAGTGGGACGGGCCCCGTGCCCTGTGCCACCTCTTTGCAGGGCTGGGGAACAGATTGGCCAGAGCCTGTTGTAGGTTTTGGGTGGTTGGAAGGAGGGTGTCTGCTTGGCATCAGCATAAGGGTCCTCCCTGCCACACTGCCTCTGCCTGGTGCAGCGCTGCCACCAGGGCCTAATTGCCAAACCCTTTGGCTGAGGTCATACGCATCAGGTCCGGTTCAGTAACTCCTACAGCAGGGACTGGGAATAAAATCAGTTGGGCTCCGCATCCCCCGACACGGTGAGCACGAAGTGGCCCACACCTGGTTCTGCAGGGCGACCGTTTTCCTGCGTGCGGGGTCAGCCGGTTCCGATGTGCCTCTAATTGGCTCTGCTGCGCTGCGAGAGAAACCCTCCCTTCCGTGCCGTCTGCATCTCCTCCCCACCTGAGCACTCCAGGCAGGAGGAAAATCCTGCCCTCACATGGAGAACATCAAAGGCAGTGGGATCAGGCTCAGGGAGAGAAGAAAAGCTCCCGGGGCCTCCCCAGCCGGGCTGGGGGAGGTCAGGCAGCAGGACTGGGGAATCCGCTAGATGATGGGACATTGGCTCCTTCTTGCAGAGGCTGCAGCTGTGGCCAGCCCTCCCCATCCTGGAGGCTGTGGCAGCAGGGGACCCA